ACTTGTAAACAAGGGAGAACTGTGTGGGAATCTGATGGCTGAGGGCAGCCTTGGCTGCACTGACCATGAGATGGTAAAGTTCAGGATCCAGAGAGGATGAGGGGAAAAAGCAGAAAGCAGAATTGCAACTGTGGACTTGAAGAGGGAAGACTTTGGCCTGTTCAGGGATCTGCTTGGAAGAATCCCACTGGAGACAGTTGTGGAGAAAAGAGGGATCCAGCTGAGCTGGTTGGTTTTCAGGGATCACCTTCTCCAAGCTCAATAGTGGTCCATCCTGACAAGCAGGAAAACAAGGAGAGGTGGTAGGATGCCTTCATGGATGAACAAGGAGCTTCTGACAAAAATCAAACATAAAGAGTACAAGAGGTGAAAGCAGGGAGAAGTGACCTGAGGTGAAGGTAGAGAGAATGTCTGTGTGTGCAGGGATGGGGTTAGGAAAACCAAAGCCCACCTGGAGTTGAATGTGGTGAGGGATGTTGTTGTGGCTTAACCCCAGTGTGCAGCTCAGCGCCACACAGCTGCTCGCTCACTCCCCCACAGAGGGATGGGGAAGCAAATTGAAAGGGTAAATGGTTGAGATAAAGACAGTTTAATAGGGAAAGCAAATGCTGCTCGTGCAAGCAAAGCAAAATAAGGAGTTCAGTCTCTACTCTCCATTGGCAGGCAGATGTTCAGCCATCTGCAGAAAAGTAGGGCTTCATCAAACGTGAAGGTGACTTGGGAAGACAAGTGCTGTAACTACAAATGTCCCCTGCTCCCTCCTTCTTCCGCCCAGCTTTCATTGCTGAGCACGATGTCATGTGGCATGGAATATCCCTTTGATCAGTTTGGGTCAGCTGTCCTGCCTGTGTCCCCTCCCAGCTTCTTGTGCAGCCCCAGCCTGCTCACAGTTGGGGCAGCGTGAGAAACAGAGAAGGCCTTGAGGCTGTGTAAGCACCCTTCAGCAATAGCTAAAACATCTGGGTGTTATCAACACTGTTTTGGTCACAGATCCAAAACATAGCACCATGCAGGCTGCTATGAAGAAAATTAACTCTATCCCAGCCGAAACCAGCACAGATGTGAAAAACAAGAAAGGCTTGTATGGGTACATGAGCAGCAAGAGGAAGACTAGGAGAAGTGTGGGCCTGCTGCTGAATGGGAATGAGGGCCTTGTTACAGAAGTACTTAATGCCTTACTCACCTCAGTCTTTAATAGTAATAATGGCCTTCAGCAATCCCAGGCCCCTCAAACCAGTGGGAAAGTACAGGGCAAGGTAGACCTACCCTCAGTGGAGGAGAATCAGGTTAGGGAATATTTAAACAAACTGGACATGTGCAAGGCCATGGCCCTGGTGGGGTATGTGCTGAGGGAGCTAACTGATATTGGGAGGCCACTCTTGATAGTCTTTGAAAGGTCATCAAGTATTATTTTCATTCATACATCATAAAGGTAGAGTAGACAGATCTGCTATAATGCCTAACCCAGAAGAAAATCTCAGAGGAGATTAATTCCAGATGGAAAATCGATTTTCTCAGAAGGAACCTTGGGGGAGGCTGCTGGGGACTAGCAGAAAGCAGAAGTCGTTCATGTTTTCAAGAAGGAAAAGAAGGAGAATTGGGGGAACTCAAGCCCCACATTGACCTCCTGGAAGCCATTTCCAAACATATGAAGGACAAGAAGCTGGTTGGGAGTAGTCAGCATGGATTTATGGAGGGGAAGTCACGCCTGACCAATCCGTTGTTTTTCTATGATGAGATCACTGGCTTGGTGGAGGAGGGGAGTGGAGTGGACGCTGTTTATATTGACTTCAGCGAAGCTTTTCACAGTCTCCCGTATCATCCTCATTGACAACCTGATGAAGTGCAGACCAGGTAAATGGACAGTGAGGTGGGCTGAAAACTGGCTGAAGTGCCAGGCTCAAAGGGTTGTGATGAGCAGCATGAGCTCCAGCTGAAGGCTGGTCACTGGCAGTGTGCCACAGGGGTGGGTAATAGGGCCAGTGCTGCTCAGCGTCTTCACTAATGACCTGGATGATAGGGCAGAGTGCACTCTCAGCAAGTTTGCAGAAGACGCAAAACTGGAAGAGTGTTTGACTCACCAGAGGGTCGTGCTGCCTTTCATAGAGGCCTCCACAGGCTGGAGAAACGGGCTGACAGGATCCTCATGAACAAAGGGAAATGCCAAGTCCTGCACCTGGAGAGGAATAACCCTAGGCTGAGTGGCTGGAAAGCAGCTTTGGTGAGAAGAACCCCAGGGATCCTGGTAGACACCAAGTAGACCACGAGGCAGCAGTGTGTGCTGGCGGGCAAGGTAGCTCCTAGCTTCCTGGGCTGCGTTAGGCAGAGGATTGGCAGGAGGCAGGTGGAGAGAGGTGATCCTTCTCCTCTTCTCCTTTCTGGTGAGGCACATCTGGAGCGTTGTGTCCGGTTCTGGGTTCTCCCATACAAGAGAGAGATGGAGATACTGGAGCAAGTCCAGCGAAGGGCCATGAAGATGGCTAGGGGATTGGAGCATCTGACATCCGAGGAGAGTCTGAGAGGGATGGGACTGTTTAGGCTGGTGACGAGAAGGCTCAGGGTGATGTTATCAATGTGTCTGAATATGTGATGTGGTGGAGTAAAAAAGTGGAGCCAGAGTCCTCTTGGCAGTAGACAGTGAAAGGACGAGAGGCAATGGGCACGAATTGGAATACAAGAAAATCCATTTAAATGTAAGAAAACCTTTTTAACCTTAAGGGTGATTGAACACTGGGATTTCCATCCTTAAAGATATTCAAAACCTGGCTGCATAAGGCCCTGAGCAACCTGCGCTTTGAATAAAGGGGGTTTGGTCTACAGAGGTGCCTTCCAACCCCAAACGTTGTGTGATTTGGGTATTGGTTAATGGGTTGAACTCTACTTGCAAGGTGATAATAAATGGAGTACCACCAGGAGGTGGTGGGTCCTGGGACCTGTTCTGTCTGACATCTTTATGAATTACTGGAGAAGGCAGTGGAGTGCACTCTCCTCAAGTCTGTGGTTGATATGAAATTGGTGGAACAGTTGGTGTGCTAAAGAGTGGAGGGACCTGAGGCTAGAGGAACTCCGATTTTCTAGCTTGGAGAAGAGAAGACAGGAGGTCCTAATAGCAGCCTTACGATACCAAGGAGGTTATCAAGAAGATGGAGTCAGGCTCTTCACAGCAGTGCATGGTGGGACAACAAGACCAATGGATGTAAATTGAAATAAGAAAGGTTCCAATGGACTGTAGAAAGAAAACTTTTCTCCCAGTCAAGCAGTGGAGCAGGTTGTCCTGCATGCCCTACTTTTGTCTTGGAGGTTTTCAAAGCCCATGTGGACAAAGCCCTGAGCAACCTGATTTGACCTCAGAGCTGGTCCTGCTTTGACCAGGAAGCTGAACTAGAGACCTGAAGTCCCTCCTGGCCTGCATGACTCTGATTTTTCAGTTAAGTTTCAGTGGTAAATTTTTCAAGTTCTGTTTGCATGTCAGCTTGTAATGTGTGGTGCCATTCTTTCTCTTTTGCTGTTCATTATGTAGTTTAGCAGGCCTCTTGTGAACTGGTTTTATAATGTTTTTGGGCTTCACAGAAGCAGCAATGGATGAATATTATCAGTTGTAGCCTTGTGTCTGGGATGCATCCAAAAGTCAGAACACTCTTAGCTATGACTTGCAGACTCTGGGGGAGCCAGGGAGACGTTCAGCATTGTGTCTGTGTGACATTTCGGGGGTGGAAAGGAGTAACTCTGCTTTCCTGTCAGCTTAATTCAATTTAGTCCTCAGGGCTTCTGTTATTTAGGCAGAACCCTTTTACTGTCTGTGGTGTAATGGTCAGCTTTGCTTTGTGAGCTGTATTGCCTGTTTGTTGGCTACAGCTTGCAGGGTTTACATAGCACAGTCATTTGTGCAGAAAGCAGATGCCTATTACTAGTTCTCTTTTAGCTGTTTTGATGGTTGAAGTGTTAAATGTTTGGTGGAACATCCTGGGGCATGGTTTGCCACTGAAGAAAACAGGAGTAAGGCTTTACAAATATGACTATACTTCCCTTGCCGATCTGGCTCCTCCTAGTAGATATGTGATGAACCACTAAATGTAACTATGGCTTCCATATTTGAATACCCCAGGTCTATTATCTTTGATTCTCCAAAGGATTTTTTCTGTCTTTATGACTTCCTTACTTCTCTACAGGGACTTCGTTGTGTGTATGGTTTCAAGGGATAGGGAGTCCTCCCAGGAAAAGACAAAGACACACCATATAATGGTAGCAAACTTACAACACGCCTTGGTTTGATAGCAGACATTCAGAGCAGTAGGAGTATTTCATCTTCAGATCCTCTGATGCATAATCACAAGTGAAAGTAAATTTTTCTCCCTTTGGTGAAACCCTGCAAGAGCATGTTCATGCAGCAAAGCTCTGCATTTCTGTATAAACAACAGTGAAATTCAGCATGATGCAAAAAATTCTTGTTAAATACTTTTTAGGTTAATAGTGATGTATTTAGCAAAGTAAGTGTAGCGGCTTGGGATGCTTATGGATTTGAGAACCTTTCCAGAAATAAAATGCTTTACAAGTCTCGTGAACAAAAGCTAAAACATCGTCCAAGAAATAAAAATAAACTTTGTAATGCTGTCAGAGTAGATACTGCTGAAGCATCACAAATTAATTTCCTTTAAACAGTAAAGAAAAATGTGTGCCATTTGTTGCCTTAACC